ACAGGGGAGTCAGAAAATGTCACATTTTCAGGAGTCATAGTTAAATCTGAATGGGACAACAACAAAATGATGGAAAATAGTAAATAGTAGAATATAATATAAAGGGCAGGAGTCAGATGATACATAGGAATACATGGAAATATTCTAATGACAAACTTTCTAGAAAGCAAGGAATAACCTGAAGCCATGACACAAAGAAACAACTAAAGTGGCAGTCAACTGAAAATAAAAAGTAACATGGAGGCTTCCTCAAAAATCCCATTGAGGCAGAAAGCAATGGCCTTGGGAACTAAAATCTAAGACCTTGAAGGGTTGCATAACTGATTTGAAGTAAGAATTTTATATTTATTTGGTACACATAAAAATGTTTATCCATTTATTCCTAATTAGAAGGGATATAATCTATTTTGCCTTTTAGTTTTTCATTCTGGCTCTGAAATTGCTAAATATTTCTACTAGTGGGAATAAAGACAAGCTTCACATTAAATGGATTTTTGTCAAATACCTTTTGGGGAATCATGTTTGTAAAAATATGTTGAATATGCATATCTTTAAACTCCAACTTAAAGTAGAAAGTTCTAATAAATGTGTAGAATTTTTTTCCTATGAAAATAAAGATAAAACACACATATACTGATAAAAACATGCTCAATCACAAGATAACATAGCATAGTTAGCTAACCTTAAAAACTCCTTTGACCCTAGCAATTACCAAACATTTTTAGCAGTCATAATGAATAATATAATGCCAAAAAATTAACAGATGAACCCTACTCTGAATATAAATAAAAGTGAATCGGGGGAGGGAACCTACGATAAAGGCACTAAAGAGCTAATACAATGGCTTAAAGAACAAAGTGTAAGCTTATTTCTTTCATGTTCTGAGATTAAAGGTCTCAGTTGGTATAGAGCCCAAGGCCTTCTGGCACATTATTTCAACCCCAACACATGATGCTGTTATTTAGACTAGGACTGAAGAGAAATGATCTTGAGTTCCAACTGGGAAGAAAGTTGGCCATCTTCAAGCCTGCCTTGGCAGGGATACTCACTACTTGAGTTCACACTTTGTTGACAGGAACCTGATGCAATGAACCTGAGCCATGCACACACCTCTGTACCTCAGAAAGGAAGACTGGATTATTATGGGATAGCTAAGTAATCTCTGACAAAAATGTCTTTGAAGCAATATAAAAATGCCTTCAGTTAGGAAGCAGTTGTAATAAAAGTCAGGACAGTGGTGACCTTTGAGTGAGGAGAGGATTTTGAAAAAACTTGAGTATAGCAATGTAAGCATTAATTTTCATCTAGGCTGGGTTGTCAGTGAATTCCCACGATCTACCTACCTCTACTCCAATGCGGTGGTTAGAGAGACACATGTAGCCTTGCCTGGCTGGCTTCTTTACCTGACTACAAGAGATTCAAACTCAGCTGCTCAAGCCTGCTGACTTTTCCACTGAGCCAACTATCCAGCCCCAAGTGCTACTGTCTCTTAAAGAGAAACTGTGTTTATAGACAGCATTTGTGCTAATACTCTCAACGATTTCAAACAATATTCTAACTTAATATGATTCATAACTTATTTTATAGGAAGAGAAATAAACCACAAATTAGCAGCTTTGTTAAAAAAACACTGTTACATACGCTGAGAGTATATGCCACAGCTTTTTACTATTATGCATCATAAACCCATATACACAAAGCTATTCCTCTCTGATACCCAGAATTTGTACATTTTATGACAGTATATGACAAAAAACTTCTCTTATGATCATATACAGTAGCAAGTACAATTACAAATTCAATAATCTAAGAGTCAAACATGGGACATTATGAAACAGCTCATCTCCTTTGAAGATAGTAGAGTACTCAGAACAAGGAAGAGTGTTTTATTAAATGACTGAGGTTAAAGGACTTTGAATTTAGTAAGCAATTTAGTGACAATGAATAGGGAAGGAAGGGTACTGGAAACCACTTCTTTTGTAGGCAATGGAAATCCCTATAAAACAAATTCTTAGGGAATAATTTTATTACATTCATTTCACCTTTTAGTTTTTTTTAAAAATTAACATTCAAGACAATAAAAGGCGCATAAGATTACTTACTCTTTGTACTCTCTCCCTCATTCTTAGAATCCATGAAATCACCTGAACGCATAGCACACATAATCTTCTGAGCAACAGTAGAGAGGGGTGTCTCACAGAGATCAAAACCTACACATGCCTCATAACTTTCCATTTTCATAAAGTCCTAAATATAAGATAAGTACCCATATATTAATTTTAAGACTTTAAAAGGACAATGTATATTTTCATTTAACATATTAATAAACTACAGGAGATATGTTTCGATTATCTAACATAGATAGGATGAAAAAATGAGAAGTGAGGCCTATTGGTACAAGCTGAATTAGGAGGCTGAGGCAGGACACACTTCAAGCCTGCCTAGGCTACAGAGCAAGTTCAAGGATAGCTGGGCAAACTAGTAAGACCCAATCTCAAATATTAATTTTAAAAGTTATTTTTAAAAAAGTGTTGGGGATGGAGCTCAGTGGTAGAGCATTTGCTTGGTATGTGTAAACCCTAGATTTGGTTTCCAGTGCTATAAATCAAAACAAAATCAACCAGAGGTTCATCTGAGGGATCATGATAAACACACAAAAATACTTTCTAATTAACCAATTATGAAGTAAGCAGTCTACTTAAATACTCCTCAGCTCTGAAAGCTGGCTGAAACTTGATTTGTAGACCTGGCTGGCCTTGAATTCACAGAGATCCACCTGCCTCTGTCTCCCAAGTCTGGGATTAAATGTGTGCAGCACCACTGCTTGGCCTGACAGTTAATTATGACACAATTTAATGTAAAAGTTTTTTTTTTTCAAGTACATTAGGTTCACCTAAAAATAAATCTATGTAACGTGATACAATACTTGACAATACTGCATTTGCTTGATGTATTATAAAAATATAGTACATGGCCATTTTCTACCTTAGTTCTACCTTGAAAATGTCCATAAAACTATGAAGTTTTTAAGACTGGCAAACAATATAACAAAGGTAAAGAATATTCTTAGAGGTATTTCCTATAGCTGAACTCTTAAGTATTAGTATTTGATACAGATTTATCATGAAATGATTGATAGGCAGTCAAGACTAGTAGTAGATGCTGATAATCCCAGCATGGTCAAGGCAAGTTCATCAATTGAAGGGCAATTTTTTTTAAGACCTTACCAAAAAAAAAAAAAAAAAAAAAAAAAAAATTTAGCTGGGTGGTAGCTGTGCACGGCTTTAATCCCAGTCTCAGGAGGCAGACACAGCAGATCTCTATGAGATGAAGGCCAATCTGGTCTACACAGCAAGTTCCAGGGCAGGCTCTAAAGCTACAGAGAAACCTTGTCTGAAAAAACAAAACAAAAAAGAATATTAAAAAAAAAAAAAAATCAAACTAAAAAGCCACTGCCAATCTTTAAAATAATGGTTGCTCAATGGTTATGAGCACTGGCTAATCTTCCAGAGGACTGGGGTTCAATTCCAGCATCCATATAGCAGCTCACAACTGTATGTAACTCCAATTCCAGGGGACCTGAAATGCATGGCAAAGCACCAATGCACATAAAATAAAAATTACTTTAAAAAGAAAATAAGAGATAAAAGGAGTTAAAAAATAATTGTCCAATATTTTCTTTCCTAAGAAAGTGATTTAAATATGTATCATAAATCCTTTAAGCAATCACTTGTACAGAAACTTAAATTTTAAATTTCATTACTCATGCTATACTGGTTAAAGCTCTAGTATGGGACAACCTATCCCCTAAAATGGAATTGCTCAAACTCTGTGATACAAGTAGACACATTTAAACTTCTCAAAGGTTACATTAGAGAATTTGTTGAAAATACTTCCAGCAACAGAATTTTACTTTAGTCAAATACAAGACTTGGCTATTGAATATACAATAGTATAGTATTTTACCAATAGGATAAAATTCAAAACCCAATGAAACTTCACACAGTATCGATATCTATGTATCTAACTATCAGGTATTAAGTGACAAGTAAAAAAGTCAAGTATGTAGCACACATATACTGAACAAAGGTACAACACATCCCAGGTGAGAGGTTTCAGAGTACACAACCTACATAGGAAATCATACAACTTAAAATTTTACTTCTGTGATTTTTTTTTTTTAAATTCAGGATTTTCAGATCACAATTGACCTGAAATCTTAATAAGCAAAGCTCAAAAATCCTAAATAACAGAAAATTCTAACTTAAGGGGATTTAATTATATTTAAAATATTTGTATAACATATGCTAGAGAGCCAAAGGCAGGCAGATCGATTAAGTTCAAGCCAGGTCTAGCCAGTCAGTGCTACAAAAGCACAGCACTTCTACTGTCAATGGTTACATGGGTTAAAAACCAATGTCACAAACTTAATATTCCCTTACTTAAATGAGTGGAGCCAAGTGTTTCAGATATTTTTAATTTTTGTATGTATACAGTTAGATATTTTAGGGATAGAACCCAAGTCAAAATGTGAAATTCATTTATGTTTCAGACAAATATTTTATACAAATAAGACTGAAGGTAGTTTTATAATTTAGTGAATGTATTTTGTGACTCTGGCCTGTCATATAAGATCAGATGCAGAATTTTTTCACTTGAGAAACATCCCAGTTGCTCATTAACTTTCAGACTTTGGAGTATTTAAAATTTTCAGAATATGAAAGTTCTGAACCTATTAACACTGAATCTATTAAAGTAAATAAAATGTTCTGTTGATCTTAAATTTATAAACTCATTTGCACTGAGGCTGATGAGATGGATTAATCACTACCACCAAGACGAATCAATGATCTGATTTCCACTCCCAGAGCTCTTGTGGTAGAAGGTTAACAAAACACCTGCAAAACTTTCTCTTACCTCCACATGTTCATCATGGTACACACTAATATACAAGGCTGCACATACCCGCATCCCCCCCTCCCTCACATACTAAACAAATGTAAAGTTAGTACTGTTTATTAGAAAAAGACTCTTAATACTTAAAAATCAAACCACAGCAGGAATAATAAAGATTCAGTTTTTAGAAACCTTTAATCTTTAAGACCAAGGGCCTCAATCTTAGATTGGTTTTCTAAATTTTCCACAACATCTTTTAGATAGTCTTCATCTTTAAAAAAATATACATATAATTCTCTTTCCACTTGATGCAATTTATTAGTTGTCAAAATTTTTCTTTTTGTCTTCACATCAGCAAGAGTATCAGTAAGAAGATGATTTAGTTTATTCAACTTAGATTCAATTTGATGGAAATGCTCCATTAACTCCTGAAAAGAGAGAGAAAAAAAAAGCTTTATTTCAAGAACTTTATCCCTAATGCCAATTTGAAATTTAAAAATATAACGTAAAAGGAAATTCTATTGATTCAATAACTTCTCACAATCATAATAAAAAGCCATATTAGGTCAGAGCGGTAGCACATACTCTTAATCTCAACACTTGGAAGATAGAGGCAGGAAGATCTTAGTTCTAGGATAGCCTGATCTACATAGTTAATTCCAAGCCATATAAGGCAACATAATGAGATCCTATCTTTAACAAAAGAACTAAAGAAAAAAAAAAAAAAAAAAGATAAGGCTGAAGAGATGGCTCTGGACAAAGGTTCTTGCTATCAAGCCTAATGACCCAAGTTTGATCCCCCAGACCTACATGTTTGAAGGAAACAATAAACTCCCAATTGCTCTCTGATCCCTAGACAGATGTGCACCCCACCACACACAAAAATAAATAAATGTAATAAAAAAATTTCAAAAAGAAAAAAAAAAAACAGCCCTTAATATGTTGGGCATGGATGGTGCTCATGCTTATAACTCCAGCAGTAGGAAAGCTGGGGCCGGGTTGCTGCTAATGAGGTCAGACTGAGATACACATTTTTTTTTTTCAGATCTCAACATATTTGAAATGAAGATGCATCTTATTATAGAGACTATCATATGGTGACTAAGCACTCTTTGCAAATGAGCATGGCGGCTCAGACCTGTAATCCCACCACTTGGAGGCCAAGGAAAGACTGCTAGAAGTCTATGTAGCAAGAATTACAGCAAGAGATTCTGTTTCAAACAAAAGTTTTCCCTCATATTCTTGATGTAGAAAATGTGACAATTGTCAATCATAATACAATTTAGAACAATTCACAATTAAGTGTGAGGCTTTGGAAGTATTCTATTCATTTTAATTGGCTTACTTTTTCCCTTGATAATATGCTCAAGAAAGTGTAACACAATGATGAGCCAGAGAGACACCTCAGTAGACAATGTCAACTACAACCAAGACTGACAATCATAGTCAGGTCCTGAAAATATGGTAGAAAGAAGAGAACCAACTTCTACAAAGTCCTGATTTCCACTTGTGAATCATGGTACCCCCACATAACACACAAATAACTGATTTTTAAAAATATGATGAAAATAAAAGTCTGCCTACATCTAAAAGACCCCTTCTAGTGTGAGTGTGTGTGTGTGTGTGAGAGAGAGAATATGTGTGTGTGTTCCTGCTTCCTATACTCAAAATGAGAACATTCTCTGCCACCATGATGCTCTAAGCACATGGGGCCAAATTATCATGAGTTAAACCCTCTAAAATCACAAGCCAAATAAATCTCTTCTACTTTAAGTTGCTTCTGTTAGGTATTTGGTCTACACAAAAGTGTGTTTACATAACTAACACAAAGACTAACCACAGAAATTAGAAACTATTTTAACATGTCAAGAGAACAGGTAACTGTGAAACTTTATGTAACAGCACAATAATTTAATATAAAGGTGAAAACTGTTGTATGTCAGTTTTTTACCATTGTTTAAAAACAATGTTCATGCTGGGCATGGTAGCATACAAGTTTAATCCCAGGAGTGGGGAAGCAGAGGCAGACAGATCTCTGTGAGCTCAAGACTAGCCTGAGTTACATAGTGTGTCCCAATTGAGCCAGGAATATAGACATAGCTTGTCTCAAAAACAAAAACAAACAAAAAAAGCGAATGCCAGTCACTGGCAAGCACTCTGGAAGTGAAAGAAGGGAGGGTTGCAAGTTTTCTGCCAACCTGCCAATTTGAGCTACAAAGTGAGTTCAAGGCCCACCCTGAGCACATACTGAGACCTGTTTCCAAAGAGGAAAAAAATGTTGGGATTATACATTAATGATGAAGTCCTTGCCTAGCATGTAGAAGGCCCTAGGTTTGATCAAGTCTCAGGGACTGAACACTAAGTTTAGGGTACAGGGTGAGAACAAATGAGTTACTGAAATATACAATTCCATGCACATAAAGTTAAAAAACAAGTTAATACACTATCTAAGAATTTATTTATATATTAAAACTCAAAGACAGAACTATTCAAAAGTTGGGGAATTCCATTAGAAGAAGCATGTACCAATAAGTATACAGAGAAGATTTCAAATTCTATACACGACATTCAAAATTATTTGAATATGTATGAGGAGTTACATACCTATAGGATTATATGCCTATATTCCCAGTACCCAGGAGATTTTGAGTTAAGAGACCAGCATAAGCCACACAGCAAGACCCTGTCTCTCTAAATAAATAACTTTTATATTAGTGTAATGGGATAAGGTAATCTTTTCCTCATGTTATAAGGAACATTTTATTTTCTTTTTTCTTTCTTTTTTTATGAATTTATTTTTCACATTCCAATCCCAGCTCCTCCTGCCTCCTCTTTTCCTGCTACCCCCCTCCCACCCACTCCTTGGAGAGAGTAAGGCTTTCCCTTGGAAGTCTACGAAGTCTGTCCCATCATCTTGTTGAGGCAGGATCGAGGCAGCTCTCCACCCCCACATCCCTGTATCTAGGCTGGGCAAGTTTTCTCTACATATACAAACCACTAAGTCGGTTTGTGCATTAGTGTTAGATCTTAGACCCACTGCCAGTGTCTTCATATATTGTTCCAGATATATCATTGTCACCTACATTAAGGGAGTCCAATTCAGTCTTATGCAGATTCCCCATTTGTCAGACCTGAGTCAGTGATCTCTCACTAGCTCAGCTGATTCTGTGGGCTTCTCCATCATGGTCTTGACACCTTTGTTCATATTATCAATCTTCCTTTTTTATAAGGAACATTTTTTAAATGTTATTTTTTATTTGAATGAGTATTTTTGCTTGTATCTGTATATGTGTACCACATGTGTGCCTGATACCCACAAAAGCTGAGGATGTCAGAACCCCTAGATGGTCGTGAGCCACCATGTGGATTCTAGGAATGAAACACGGAACCTCTACAAGAGCAGCAAGTACTCTTAACTACTGAGCTTGCTCTCTAGCCCCTTACAATAAACATAATTTTTAAAAGCATTTAAATTTCCTAGGAAAATACTCACCTGATCAGAAAGCAATAGCTGGTTCCCTCCGTGATACAAAGCATCACAAAGCATGTCCACATCGTTATTCCATTTGGACAGAAAGAGAAACTGCTCTTGAGTAGACACTGCCAACTGATTTTGTATTAAAGAAACATCTTGTTTCAATTTCTCAGCCACTTCCTCCAGGTGTTCACGGGTTATAAACAATTCTTTTTTCTTATTGTCTCCTTCTAAAAGTTGATAAAGCCTAAAATTCAAAAGTTAAAATTCAAGAGAAAAATGTTCATGTTAGTAGTTTTCAAAACTATATATAACCCACCATAAGTAACAACTGAAAAGTAGTAATTTATGTGTTTCTAAATATTAAGCAACTGAAACACCATCACAAGTATATTATTATTTCAGAAGAGAAACATCTGAATTCAAGCACATGGTACAACCCTGTCATCCCAGCACTCGGGAAGAAAAGGTAGGTGGATTTCAAGCTCAAGGTTACATAGCAAATTCAAGGCCAGCATGACACTATCTCTAAGGAAAAAAAAAAATTGAAAGAAATGTCTGAATTTTCAGTTTCTCCATCTTCCATATTTTAGATATAAACTTCACCTTGATTTTTAGCTGCCATTAGTTTACTTTCAAAGTGAGCTTCAGTGATACATCCCCAAAACACTTCTTTCACAGTAGCAGCGGCAACAATGACCCAGTGAAAATTAATCTTTAGTGCCTAGTTCATAAGATTGTGGTGGGATTAAAAGACAAAAACTAAAATTGTAAAATGTAAACAATTGAGAGCTATATAGATGGCATTAACAACAAACTTCCTACTTTAATCTGTTTGGTATTTTGGTTAGTAAAAATCCTGATAATTAACAAGACCAATTTAATATTTCACTTAATGGCAGAAAAACCCATCAGCCTGTAGGAGGTGGCTCAGTGGTTAAGAATACTTCCTGCTCTTCCAAAGGTCCTGAGTTCAATTCCCAGCAACCACATGGTGGCTCACAACCATCTGTAATGAGATCTGATGTTGTCTTCTGGACTTCGGACATACATGCAAGCAGAACACTGTATACTTAATAAATAAATGTTTTTTTAAAAAAGCATGGTCTTTTACTTATAATATACCTACAGCTCGCTCTCTTCACACAAACAAATCTTAACAGACTATAAAACTGGTTGAAGTCCAAAACTACCAATTACAATCCTGAGGACTGTAACGACACAATTATACACTGGCACATTCACATAGATCATGATGTTAATGGAAACCCCTAAAATTAAAACGAGGCAACCCTAAGTCATTAACTTTACTAATAAGAAACAAAATGATTTAGAGTACATTATTCTAATCCTACAGAAAAATAAGGAATAGTGTGTGTGTGTGTGTGTGTGTGTGTGAGAGAGAGAGAGAGAATGTGTGTGTGTGTGTGTGTGCCTGAGAGTGTGTGTGCGTGTGTCTGGGGAGGCCAGAGGTTGAAATTGGGTCTTCCTTAACTCTCTGTGTCACTTTTTAACATTCTCTAAAGAACCTGGAGCTCACCTATTCAGTGTGACTGGTTGGTCACAAAGTATTAAGGATCCTTCCTCCTCTGCCTCTCCAATGTAGAGATGACAGTAGTGTGCCACTGCACCCAGCTTTTATATGGAATTTCTGGGGGATCAAATTCAGGTTCTCAAGCTTATACACAAACACTTCAGTGACTGAGCTATCTCCCTAGCCCTGTCCCCCTGCCAATTCTTTCTCTAAAATACAAAGTTTCATTGTGCAACTCAGGCTGTCCTAGAATTCTTGCTATGTAGCCCAAGCTGACCTCAAATTCACAATTCTCCTGCCCTAGCTTCCAGAAAGTTAAAATGAAAGGTGTAATCCCATCGTCACACAGAATTTAAAAGACAAATGTTTACTGAACATTCTCATTCTATAGCCCACAATGACCTCAAATTCACTCTCTTTCTATACCAGTTTTCTAGGTGCTAGGATTACAGATATCAGACACTATACCAGGCAAATACAAGAGTTTTCAAGTTTACTACTTTTAGTCTTCTAATTCCATATCTTGGTATCATTAATTATTAACATATCAGGAAAGACCAGCTTTCATCAGATAGGGAAATAAAGTCTTCTGTTCTACTCCCACCTTCCCCAAATACAACCAGTATCATGCCCAGCAATACCTATGATATAAAGCTATATTCAAAATTTCTGTCCCAGATCTAACATCAAGTAAATAATGGTGTCTAAGTGGGAGTAAAATATTTTAGCAGTTTATTCCTCCAACTCAGTTTTTATATGGCTACAATCATACCTAACATGAACAGAAAGGGAACAAAAATTTTTAAGATAAAAGCAAATCTAAGTACAAGTAATTTTTTAAACCTTTACAATTTCTATTCAAACTCTCTAGTATTTCACACAAATAAAAAAGTATTAAGAAAGAATGGCATATACATACCTACGAGTAGAATAATCTTTAGTGTTGATGGGTGTCCTGTAGTTTGACTGTTCAGGTATGGATGGATCTGTTAATGTTTCTAATTGCTGACAGAGCATTACATTTCTTTGACCAAGTTGTTGAATCAAATTTTCAAGTTGCCGATATGTATCCCAATGTCTTCTCAATTCAATTTCATATGATAACTGTACAAGGTCAAATGATGCTTTCTGTTTTATCAACTGATTTAAAACAAACTCTTGTGTTGCTGTATAATGATCTTGTTTAGCAATCTGCAGATCAAAATCTCCCTTTACAATCGGCATGTTCAATAACTGGGCATTCTCTTTTACCACAGCAGGCAGAATTTTGTCTTTCATATGAGTGATTTGCTGTTCAAGTTTTAGAATCTCACTGTTCAAGCTAGAAATTTTAGCATCCAAATTTTCTTTACCAACTGCCTACACAAAGAAAGAAATAACATTTTAAACTGTAGGTTTAAATTCTTATTTTAAAGTTATTTTCACTTTTTGTTTTAGGTAGTCAGATAATATGCTCAATGATAAAAAGCAACTTATTAGTATAATACAAAACTAGTTATAAAAGGGCAAATATGGACTAAGTCAAGAGAAAAGCCAGCAAGAACTACTGAACTTCAGTGCTTTTAAACTATGTATGTACACAGTAATGCCTAAGTTTATCAGCATATTACTCATTGTTAACAAATGAAGATTTTAGTTTTTCTTAAAATTATCTCAATAAGTATTTTCTTGGTTTGTCAGCTGATTACAGCACACAGATTTATCAGACTTATTATTTCAAAATTTTGGTTTGTTGTAGTAACTAATTTAATGCAGGTATTCTGATTCAGAAAAAAAAAACCCTACATTTTAATTCAACTATCTAGTGGTTACATTATCAAGAAAGCAAGCTTCCAAAGAGTACAGATGAACAACTATAATATATCTACACATTTCTCAACAAGTACAAAGGAAGTCATTCCATTGAATCTTGGACTTTTGACTTCATTAACACCATCTCCCTGTCAGAGAAACAGGGTATAATACCCACAATCAATCAAGCAGTCTCTTTTGCATATATCATAAAATAGAAACCCCAGCTTAATCTGTATTTGAAATGACACAAATTTTAAATTTATAATGCAAATTAAGACATTTTGGTTCAGAATTAACCAGGTAGTATGACTGAAATAAAATTACTAAGTTCTGGTAATATGATTAATAATAATTTGTATTAAACACATACTGCAAATAAGTACTAAGCAAACATAAAATTTTGATTCACCTTTCTAAAAGTAGTAGCAATATTAAGTCTTATTATTTTTAACAATCACAATACCAATTCAGTCTTATTTCTTATGTTTACCTCGCTGGTTAGGCTATGAAGATTCTCTTCTGCCCATTTTATACTTGACTTCATGCTCAAATTACTTGCTTTCAAGAATATGATCTGTTGTTGGGCACAGATGTATGCTATCTGCAGCCTAGCCATCTCCAGTCGTCTCGCCCCAAGGATTTCTTCATTATCACAAATAGATGGTGTTTGTGTATCTAAGAGCTGAAAATTTTCTTCCTTTGAACTTTCAACTACTTCATGTATACCCTGAAAGAACTGCTTTTTGGTATATGAGGTTAAGGCTCCTGTGGTCTGCTCTTCTTGGCTTATATATTTTTCCAAGGAAAACTGAGATAAAAATACCATTGGATTTGTCCCTTGACCTAAATTAGCATGTCTGAAGAATGTCATCAAATTATTAACTCCCTCAGTAAGAATCTGAAGTTCATTATTGAGCTTAGTAATCACAGCATTTAGGAATCCTTGACTCTGTTTCATCTTAGTTGCTTCCTCTTGTTTAGCATTTAATGTCAGAGATTTGTAGCTAGTTTCAGAAGCCATTAACTGGTATTTATTCCGTCGCTGAATTTTTAAGTTATTTAATTTCTGCAGAGTTTGAACCTCATCCTCTAATTTTTGTATCTCTTTTTCATCCAGTGTAGATGTCTTCAAATCAAAAGTCTTACAGGTTCTAAGAACTTCATCCAACGCTGTTCCTTCTAGGATGGGCTTGCCTGACCTTTGAAGAACACTGAAATCTTCCAATTCTTTTTCAGATAATACATTCTGTTCATTCACATTCCCACAAAACCATTTCAAAAATGACTCGTTGTCAACAGCGACAAACAGCCAGTCAAAATCTTCTCCATTAAGAAGATCAGCTTTAGGATAACCAATTTTTTTCAATGTTTCCACAAACTCCTTTCCACAACTCATGGTTTAACTACCCTGTTTCTTATATTTGATATATTTGATGATTTTTAAAAACTAAGTTCAAACAGAAAACAACATGTTTACACTAAGTTCGTAGAAGAAGGGGAAAAAATACAATCTATAATGTGCTTTCCTAGAGGGGAAGAAAACAAGTATTAGACCACAGACAAAGCAAATGCACTTTGAATATGTAGATAATTTTACCAGATGACATTCAGAAAGCTACTAAATGAAAGGGAGATGCAGGTTCGTTTTCTGACAAAAATAGAACAAAACATTAGCAATTAGGGCATTGCTTAGGACACTGCAACAGTAATGAAAACCTAATTAATGAAAATGTAACAATAAAAATCTTATGTTTTTCAATGCTGAAATTATTTAAAATACACTACAGTTTGTAAAATAATAGTTGTTTTCCCCTGTCATTTCTAGTTAGGAAATAGAAACATGCCACTTTTTTTTGAGGAAGATCAACTAAATATTTACCTCAATCAGCATTCATCAGGTTCAAACGACTCAATCTCCAGCTAGAACCAGCCTAAAGCAGAGAAAACGGGGGGGGGGGGGGGGCGGCAAACTGAAAAGTTTCAAAGTAGCCAGCAGTCATCAAGCAAAAAATACTCTTTTCACCCAGCGTACAATGATCCGCCACTTGAGACAAACGAAGGGCAGTGACAATGGCAAGTCTTAAAATCTCGATGCATTTGACACTCTGGTAGCAACATTTCTGGGCGGGTTTTTGTTTGTTTCTAGAGCACCCAGTTATGACAGTTAATATCCCTAATAAAACACACCCACAAAACCACCGAATTGTTGTCTTTAAAAGATGCATAAAGGGCAAGTGTGTATTTCAGGGTTAACGCTTGCCTAGTATGACTGAGGCCTTGGGTTGTATCTGCAGCACCCGAAAAGAAAAATTTACCAACCCCAGCCGGGTGGTTGGCCAAGTAGCCCCACCCCCATCGCTGTCACGAAGCCTCAGCCTCCCGCGCACCCCACGGTGCCTCAAGCTGGCTGTAGGAGGGTAGCGGCGGGCTGCCCGCCCTGAACCGGAGCCCTTACCTCAGGCGCAGGGAGCTCCGGCTGGCGCTCTCCGCAGCCTCCAACCGCGCGCGTCGCGGTGCCTCACGGGAGTGCCGGGACGCGCACGCGCAGATAGCAACAGCGGCAGCGTCTGCGCAGGCGTAGTATAGTATATAGGGAGGCCGAGGAGGAACTGCTGACCTATCCCCCGCCCCCATGGAGCCAAGAGTCAGGTGATTGGCTCCTGCTAAACGCATTGCTCCCCTAGCCCCGCCCCCAGCCCTCCGTCGTCATTCCCGCTAGGCTCAAGAGGATTGGTTTCCTCACTGGAGAGTCGACTCCGCCCCCCGCGCTCCTCCCCCCCCGCCCCCGCCCCCGCCCTTCCCGTTCCTCCGCCCCCGCCCCCGCCCCCGGCCTCCGCCCCCCGTCCTGGAGTTGGCAGCTAGGTTTCTTCGGGCTCAGAACAGCACAGCGAACCAGGATCCTCTCTCAGTTAGGCCTCCGTTCCTAAGAATGGCTTAGTCTTTTGACACCTCTAGGGAACCAAAGTCTGAAGCCGAACAGCCCCCTCCCCCTGGCACCGTGACCTAACCCGGTGCCCGTAACCGAATCAGTAGCAGGATTCCCCACCAGCAGCAGGTCTCCTGCAGTGTAGGAGTGTTGGCTATAGATTCTTTTACAATGTTTTTGTTTTTTTTGTTTGTTTGTTTTTGGTTTTTTTTAGCAAGAGCATTTAACTCCAAGGCTGGCTTCCTCCACGATCCCATCTTCAAAATGGCAAAGTGTAAAGCGCGTAAGTTTGGAGTGCTGTAGAAGGAGTGCATTCAACTCAAAAGTACGTTCCGAGGAAGATGCTAGGACACCCACAGTCGCTGGATGAAAGACACAATGCTGAAATAAGGCTAAGTCTGGTGCAAACCTGCTTAAGGGTCTATGGTCCCAGAAAACTGACCTTTGGCGCTACCACTGACATTGGTAACAACGTGTTTGTTTGTATGCGACAGAATGTGTTCGTTTTTCTAACAGACAAACCTCATTTCTTACCAATCTCTCAAAATATGACATGTAAATTTGCAAATTGTGGGCTTTGATCATTAGAAAATAGTATTCCCCTCCTCCAGTCACAAATGAGGTGGCTTATCAAAATTCTAGGCTAGTTACTACTAGGTAGAATTCTTTCTGGACCTTTCCCCCCCTGCTTAGGTCAGTTTGGTTTTTTGTTTGTTTGATTTTTTAAGATTTACTTATTTATTTTATGTATGAGTGATCTACCTGATGTATGCCTTTATGCCAGAAAAGGGCATCAGATTCCATTATAGATGGTTGTGAGTCACCATGTGATTGTTAAGAATTGAACTCAGGACTTCTAGAAGAATAGCCAGTGCTCTTAACCTCTAAGCCATCTATCTCTCCAGCTTCCTGCTTGTTTGTTTTTTGAGGCAAGGATTTGCTGCATGGCCCAAGCTGGGCTTGAATTCAAGATCCTCCTACTTTAGCATCCCCAAGTGCTAAGTGCTAGGGTCACAGGTATGAATCACCATGCCCAGCTCTTAATGTTTTTAAAGAGGAAAAAAAAAAAAAAAACGCAAACAAAAAAACCAAAAAACTAACATTCTATCAGGTAATTTAAATTGGAGTTGAATGCATTTACTATTAATTCTTGTTTTACCTTTTTATCCTCCATTTGAAAATCAATAAAATCTAAAAGTGAATAAAAACAACATTACAGGCAGAAAGTTCTCAAAATGGTGCTTAATCTGGGTTTAGGAAATCAGGGGACAGACCCTGGTGTCAAGCTGGAGGTAGGGGCTCAGCAGGGAGCTGGTGTTGAGTGGGTTTGGCCAGAGGAAGTGCAGGCAGTGCTTTTGGGAAATTTTGCTGAGGAGGCAAAGACTGAGAGAAAAAGAGCCAAGCGACACCAGATGAGGGGGTGGGAATGCAGGGCTGAGAGGATTTTTAGTTTTGTTTTGTTTTAAAATGGGAGGAACTTGGGGATATTTATAGACTGTGAGGAAGAACTCAGAGGAGACAAAATTAAAGATGCCAGAAAGACAAAGGGCTTCTTAGTGCAGAATGAGGTCCCCCCAGAGAGCAGGAGGCACAACCTGGAACCCAAGAGACCAACCAGGAAACCCACTTTTCTTAGTGACTCCTGGGTGGTCCCTGGCCCCTAGCTCTCCGTTTTGAGTTGCTGACCACAGCTATTTGTTTGAAAGGTGTTTGTGAGGCCATAACAAGCCATAAAAATATAACGATTAGAACAGGATCAGGCCCCTGAGTACAAATGACAAACACAATAGGGTTAATTATACAGATCTGGGAAGTTTTCCTGGGATTGGATTAGAAATTTAAGAAGGCAAATATGTTAAACTTATTTCCAAGACAAGCTTGTTTTCTACTCAGAATCAGTTGTGGTTTTAATGGGGTCAAAAAGTAAAGGGAAGCCGGGAGCTAATCTTTCCTAAGCAAGCCTGTGAGAACATAATGGGTGAAACAAGCCTATATGCAAGACCAAGAGTGAAGGCTCTGCTGTTTGCTTTTTCTGCTTCTTGCCCGAAGTTCTGCTCTCCTGTCAATATTTGAAAAGTATTTTATGTTTTAGACAGTACCTTCTCAGGCAGTTTTTAAACTTTGAATACAATTATGATGTTAAGGTTGTTTTAGGATGCAGTTTAATGGAAGCGAAGAGATCTATTCTCCTAACAACATGGAGATGGGGCTGTTTTTAAGCAAGGGAGTGACAACCTCAGACATGTATTAGCTTGATTCTGCATTTTTTTTTCAAGTCACAAAAGGTCTGAGGAAGCTGGCACTGGACAACTCAGAAAGGGGTAAAGGCAAGGGAACCCCAAGAGCTGGCAGAACCCTGGCGGCTGTCAGCCAGTGAGATGTGGTCTGGCAGCTTCTTCCTATTGGTCCTGTTCTTCCAGAAGAGAGCTGGGGCAGGGAGATTTGCTTTTCATTGTGTTTACACTCATGTGACAAAGGTAAAAGCTCAAAACCAAACTGAGGAGCACTTGGGCTTGCATCACTAGGAAGGGGTCACCATGGAGGTGGGTAGGGATAGGGGTGTTTGGAGCTGGAAGCTGATAACAAGAAGCCTGGCAGAGTTTAGAAGCTAGAGAAGCCCAGGACCTTAGGTAAGCTGAAGCCCATGTCTGCTGAAGAAGAGTGGGTTGAGAAGAGCCACTACAGCTCCCTTCCCAGGCCAGTAGCATAACTCTGGAAAATCTATAGCTTCTGCACCTCAGCTGTCTGGCTAAAGCTTGAAAAGGGAAGCAACCATGCAATGTCCCACTAACAATTAGTCCAGATGAGCCCAGTACCTAATTTATGCAGCCATAATCTCAACAAAAATATGATAGAAAGGGACAAAGGACTCAGGGCCCACTTGCAGAGAAGGCTGAGCTTGAACTAACCATGAGATCCAAAATGAGACGGTAAGGACAAAGGGCTAAGTAGGAGGTAGACGGATTGAGGTGAGGGGTAGGAGAGAGCAAATTTGAGTTTAATTCTTGGGGATAAGGGGGTAGGAGGAACAGCGGGGCCATTTTGGAGCCACTGGCTGCCAAGAAAGGAGTAGGCAAGGGCTCAGATTCATGCGGGGTCTCACGTGGAGGCAAACATGAAGAAATGTGTCTTGTGGGCCTGGAGTAGGGGAGAAAAGCTATGAAAACAGTGCCATCTCTGCGCCACCCTGTGAGATGGACCCAGCATGGCTAAAGCAGGTGGCTAATTATGTAAAACATTTAGCACAGACACTGGCTAGAAAGTGGTAGTGGTGTAGACTCAAAACCACAGTATTTGGGATTTAAATGTCCATATTGACATCAACACTCAAATCACACCAATTCTGGGGCCCCAGTAGTGTTCACATCAGAAAATACCTTTTTCTCTGAGTGACCTTCAATTACCTCAAAGGCTGTTCACCCCTTCCCCTGTCCCCAACAGAAGGCAGGAGTGCACACATTTAAGAATCCAGAGCCCATTATTGCCTGTTGGGAGGACTGACCCCTCCCCAAGATTCATGGTTCCATCCTAAAACTTTCCAGCAGGTACCATGAGGCCATCTCCAATGGACTCTACAGAGGGTTTAGTGTGGTGATGCCTTGCTCCTTGGAAGTCCTGATCCATTCCCTCTATGGTATTCAAGGTGGCAAACCCTCAAAGGACAAATCTCAGTGTCTTGTTTTCCCCTACTGTGTGTGTTCTAACAACCTCATAGCTGATGCGAGAAGTCTTTCTGTAAATATATTTCTCTTATTGGTTAATGAATAAAGCACTGCTGGCCAATAGGAAATGAAGATAGGCGGGACTAGGAGACAAGGAGGTTTCAGAGAGAGGTAGGAGATGCAAATGTAGGACCCAGAGAGAACTCTGGACCCTCTCTCCAGTAAGATAAGACCACGTAGAAACACTTAGATTAATAGAAATGGGTTAATATTTAAGACAGAGC